TGTGCGAGAAGCTGCGAACTGACCCATCTGAGACCGTTCATGTACGGCTGCATCACCGGCTGGCCGTAGGGCATCTGCCCCTGGGGATTCACCGTCGGGGGATACGCCATGGGCACCGGTCCCATCCTAGGGGACGCGAAGGACTGCGCCGAGTTGGAATGCATCATCCTATGATCATCCGGGTTGCTGAACGGCACATGGGGGGCAGGACCGTGCTGGCCGGCGTGCATCTGCATCGGTGGCATGTGTGGCGACTGGCGGGGCGCCATGTTAGGTTCGCCGTGTTGCAGTGGAACGGCAGCTGGTGTTGGTGCGCAACCTGGGGCATGGCGTGCGTGGGGTTGGGTGTGGCGACGGCGGTGTTCGAGAGGGGCAGGCGCTCAAAGTACTGCTTGTAGGTCAGATGCATGGTCGAGTCCGGCGCTTCTGTCTCCTCCTGGAGCTGCCGCCAGGTCGGGAGCGTGTCAAAAGACGGCTTGAGGCCATCATTGTCATCCCAGTTCCGGCCCTGCGGCGGCTGGATCGTCTCGATGTGCGATAGTATGAAGCATTTCTTGACGTCCACCGCTCTTGTCTTCCGCCGGATAAGCTGCCCTTTGATGGGGACCGGAGGGACAGCTGCCTCGGCAATGTTGTTCACGGACGAGCGAGGGGAGGAGCCCGAACTGGGAACGGCGGGGTTGAAGGGCTGCGCAAACGCGTTGGGTCGGAACTCGTGGCTGTTCGGGTTCAACTTGGGGCCCATGAAGGGCGGCGGAGCAGCGTTCATGCGGCGGTTGAACCCTGGGTCGACGCTGTTGGCCGGGCCGGTGGGGGGTAGGCGCATATCCGGCGGGGGATGCTGGCCCATATGAGGGTGCTGCATTTTTTGTTGCTCCACGTTGCGAAGCCGCTGCGCCAGGTTGCCCGTCGTCTGACTTTGAGGGGCCATATGAGGCGGCGGTCGGTTGTTTCTGTTGTACTGATAATGAGGCTGGGGGTTGTACGAAGAGCGGTTGCCCTGATGACGGCCAGGGACTCCGCCTGCCGAACCGGAATGTTGCGGCGCAGCTGGACGGGAGCTCCCGCGCGCGGCATCGGCCGTTGCCGCAGGTGTTGAGGCGCCGGATTGTTCGGCGCTCGCTTTGCCCTGGGTGTCCTTCGAAGTGGTCATTTCCTTATCCTGGGTGGCCACCTCCTTCTGCTTGGCTAGCTCGTCCATGTTATGCTTCGCCTTGTCCTGAATCTGCTTCTGCTTGGCCGGATCTTTGGCAATGATAGAAATCAGGTCCTTGGGGACGGGGGTGAAGAGCTTGAAATTCTCTGCGAATTTCTTCAGCTCCGTCAGCTTGACCTCTTTGTCGGCCTTGGCCCTTGTGGTCCTGACTTTCTCGGCCATGAACCTCTGGGTGGTCGCAAAATTTCGGAACGAGGACAGCACGTCGCGCTCAACATTCGCAGTTGCGCCGGGGACAGGGCCAACCTTTGACGCACCACGGCTGGTGGTTGCGGCGGGCCGGGCGGCGGTGCCATCTTTGGCATCCGCTGCCTTCGCATCCGAAGTCGTCTCCGCCTTGCTCTCAGGCGCTTTGCCTGTGGCTGCGGCCGCGCCTGCGGCCGCGCCTGCCTTAGACTCCGCCGGCTTGTCCGAGACCGGGGTGGCCGGCTTTTCCGCGGCGACTTGGCTCTTCGGCTCGGTCGTTTTTGGTGTCTGCGTGGGCTTCGGGGTAGGAGTGCTCTTAAGTTGTGACGAGATGATAGCAGGATCAACTGGAACACCCTTTACGGTCGCCTGACCGGTGGGCGCGCGCCGGGCTGGCGGTGTGTACTTGTTGTCCCTGGTCGCCAACGGTGGGAAGTCCTGACGGCGTACGCCGCTGTACCTGAAAAGGGGTCAATCTCATGTATCGTAACTGGGCAAGTTTTCCATACTTGTCTTCTTCATCTCTTTGGTCCTCACCACCAACGAAGTCCATCACACGCTCCTCGGCAACATGCGAGGTGGTGGGAAGGGTCCGTTCAATCTCACGCGCCTTTCTCTCGGCAGCCGCCAACCGTTCCTTATACTGGGGGTGGCTCTTGTCAATGGCGGTGGTGTAGATATTTTCGTCGTAGTCCGTCTTCAGGCCAAACAGGCGCTCGTTCTCGGCGAATTGATCCCAGGCGCCGCCAGCGCTGGGTTTCTCCAGCGACCCATCAACTTCGTAACCCGCATCGGGGACCCAGGCCTTTAAGCTCCTCTCCGGGCCGAGTCGTGAGTTAGAAATTGCAGCGTCTGTGCGAAAAGAAGACCGATTGCCTGGGAATAGCTCGTCAGCGAGAGCAAGAAAAAGGGGGAGGTATCATAGTGTCACCGCCTACCGTTTGGAGCACGTCCGTCATTCTTGGCGTTGTTGGCAGGAACAACGCGGGCATCCGCAATGTCTTTTCGCTGAATGGTCATGGTGGGCTGCTGCTCTCTTTTGCTTGTGGTATCTGCAGAGTTCGGGGCCTTTTTCTGCTGCACCATGCTCAAGCGGCAGCTCGCAGGGCTCGGGGCCGTTGTTAAAGGTTCTCTCGAATTCGGCGCCGGACGTGAGGACAATGCGAACTCGCTGGCTCTGTTATGAAAGGAAAAAAAGAAATTGTCAGCGCATGGTCACCAATCAACTCGGCTCTGTATCAGATGTTGCAAGGTTCGACTGGAGCTTTGACCATGGAGTTTCGCAAGTTCCGACTCCGCTGGAGCTTGAAGCAAGCGTGGCCGTTGGTCGGGGGAAAAGGAGGTGAGGAACAGGGGACATAGCGGGGACAAGCGACTGAACTGACCTCGCGGAGGGAGCTCGTCACAGACTGCTTGTTCTGGGGGGCTTGCGACCGACCGGTGATGGGGTTTTTGTTGGAAGTCCAGGCCTTTTGCTGGACGGGGGGTTGTCTGTGCGGGCGGTCGTTAGTCAATCAATGCCCTGTTCCACCGACCCTCTGCCGCATATGCAGAACGAGGTCCCGGAAGTGGGAGCGCGGTGACCCGTGCGATTGACGCTGCAGTTTGAAGGAGGGGGGGATGCATAGGCTAGAAAGGACTGGTAGGAGGTGGATGGAGTGGGAAAAAAAAAGGACGGAATGTCGTTGTTGGCGGGGAGGTTGCAACAAGGCTCTCAAAAAAGTTGGGGATGCGTGGGAAGGGTCTCGTGTCTCACCTCGGAGTCGGGGGCGAAGCGGTTGCCTCTGGGGCTCTCGGTCGCTGGTCGCCGAGCTTGCTGCTGTACAGAGGTCGAGCGGTGGGTGACTTTATGTCGGGGGTGGTGGATTGCGATGGCGATGCGACAACGGGTTTTGAGGTTGTCGATCGGTCTTCCATAGTTCCTGTGCCCTGCCGTTGAGTTGAGCACTCGGGGCAGTTGTCCAGACTTTGGGGAAAGAGGGTGCGGGCGGGAGATGTGCGGGAGCGGCAGAGAGGGTAAGTTTGTACGAATTGGGCGAATCAGAGCTCTGATTGGTGCGTTGCTGGTGGGCAAGCAAAGCAGCGGCGAGCGAGGGGTGGGTGTGCACCAGCAGCAACCCGATCGATTTGCAGCAGCTCGAGGGCTCGCTCGGTCACGACAGCACAACAGCTGTCGAGTTACGACTCTTGATTAAGGCTTCCCTGGCACTTCGTCGATGGCCGTGAGATGCCCGGCAAGATACCGCAGGGTGTCACAGCCACAGGCGGCCAACTGATTTCCCGGTCAAAAAGCTTACAACAGGGGCATCGATGTCGGCCCCGCTTGCCGTGTGGTTGGCGGTTCCTGCCGAATAATGGGTTGATTCTCTGGGTTGAGAAGTAGGTAGTATCGGAGGGTTAGTCGATGGACGCGCGCTAATGTGAGGCGCGGAGGAAGCCGACTCCGAGAGTTCGGAAATGGAGGGGAAGAGTGATGCAGAGGAAAGTAACAACTGCGCTGGGCACTTGAGCGGCGTTCTTGCGGAACGGAATGTCTCGCGGTCTGTCTTGGGCGGGGAAGGGCAGAGAAGCTAGGTTGGGTCGACTGGCCCAGGCGTTCAGTGGTCGGTTGCACAAGAAAGGCAGAAGACCCAAGGAACAGCAAAACGGGCAGCAAAGGGAACCAGGGCGCAACTAAATCCCAGCGGCTCTAGGAAGGTCAGAGAACACAACCTCACATGCAATGACCTGTGACCCGGCAGCGAATGACCCCCAAACAACCCCGTGTTCCTTCGTGGGTTTTGATGGAATCACAGCGTCTGATGAGAACACAAAGATTCTCCCAGAACATCAACTTGTCCAGGCATTCGCTGGCAGCAAGACCTCCGGGAGAGCTTGTTCGCGCTAGTCCTGTTTCAGCGAAAAGCCACCTTGGCAGGACCATGGATCACCAGACAGCCCCACGTGATTTGCTTCTTTGAGTGGATTGTCCTGCCCCTGGCTCAAGCTTTTGGGGAATTGCGACGGCTGACTGGAGAGTGGGAGGTTTAGAATGTTCCTATCACGCACCGTGGATGCTTTGTCCAGCTCTTGACAGACACGAGGTTTTTGAGCTGCGACCAACAGAGGTCGATGATGGCATCGCCTGTTTCAGCAAATCATACCTTAACTAGGTACCTATCTTACCTACGAATATTGAGCTGCCCGACCTCGGGAGCCTCCTTGAATCAATGCACACGATGAGTTGTCTTTTCAGTCTGTTTGACAACTGAAGCTTCCAGCTTAGCAAAAATACAATTATTTGCATTTTGGGAGTCCAGATCTCCCGCCTCTTGCTTATTCCTCTCCTTTTCTTTTCTTTTCTTTTCGTTTACTTCTTTATTTCTTGAGGATTGCTTCAAACCTTGCGTTCTGTTTAACCAACGACACAAAATTCGTCAGTGAGTCCAGAATGACGCAAGTTCACCCCACTACCTACCCTACAACTTTTGGCGTAGACCGGCACACAGCAGATATCTCGGTATCAATGATGATTTTATTTAAACATCCGGAATTATTCCGTCATCACGCCCATGTATCTCATCAATCATTCCTGGGCCTATGAGCCTGACCACGGACGTTGAACCCAATTCTCATGGGATATCTTCAAGATGCTTGTGGGGATGGACGTGTTTCTTGGTATCAAGGGGAAACATGAGGCATGGCAAAGAGAAGCCACCAAATAGGGGCCAGGTTCAGTTAATTCAGCAGCATGACGAATCGGCCATGCCAGTTCCAAGCAATCCAAACAACATCGAAGTCGAACTTTCAGCCATTACTGATTACAACTGCTCTCCCAATCTCCCACCAAATAGACAACAACAGCAACAACAACACAACACCACAGTCACCAACCTCATCCTCCTCCATCCCCACCTTTCCGTTCCAACAACCCGCCCCTCCCCAACCCTAACCTCTTACCTCCATACCAACCCTCCCACTCCCCATACCAACCACCCCGCCCCTCCTCCCACATACCATCTCACCACCCCCATCCAACCTAGTTAACAGCCCCTATCTAAATCCCCACCACCGCCATCAAAGCCATCCCCATCCCCAGCCCCATCACCGCCGGTGCCCCAGCCGCAGCCGCAGCATTGATAGCCGTCGGCGTGCTCGGGGCGCGGGTACTGGTCCTGGTCCTAGTGCGGTCACGGTCCTCCTCATCATCATCCCCGTCGTCGGCGGGCGACGTCGCCGTCCGCGTGGCAGAGGTGGTCAGGGTGGCGTTGCTGCTGGCGCGGGTGCCCGTCACGGTCAAAGTGCTGCTGAGGCTGCTGGGGAAGTTGCTGGGGATGGTGCTGATGCTGCGGGTGACGGATTGTGTGGTGTCGTTGGCGCTGTCGCTGTCCGAGGGGGGTGTGGGGGTGGAGGAGGTGTCTGGGGTGGGGCTGGCGAGGGCGTCGCCGGTGGTGGTGGTGGTGGTGGTGGTGGCTGCTCCGGCGAGGCTGGTGAGCAGGGCCGTGAGGAGGAGGGAGGATTGGAGTTGCATTTTGTTTGTTTCTTTGGGTGGTGTGATTTGGGTTGAGATAGTTGGATGGATGTGTGTATGCACGGCTGGTTTGCGTTGATTTTCGTTGAGATAGAGGGAGAAGGGGGAGAGGAAGAGAGGGCGGCTGGCTCATCTTTAAATCAGGACAAGAAAACGCACTTGTCGCCTGGGAGATCGAGTCTGGATCGCTCGAACGAGCGATGGGAGAGACATGGCTGGTCTGGCTCGGGAATTCTCTTGCTCGAGCCTTCGGAAAGGCAGTGCGGGTTCCCGTGGAAAGAAGAGGAGGCGCTGCTTCCAGCCGCGAGGGAGAGTAGGACACGGCGGATGCCGTGGTCGATCCCAACGCCTCTCCGAAGCTAGGAGCGGATCCGGATGGGATTATTGGGTAATAGATGGGAGCAAACGCCTCATGGACTGGGCGGTGACAGGGCAAGGCGAGATGACTTGGATCGAAGGGGCCTGGACCTTTCACAATTTGCCGATGCCCCTGGATTTGTGTCACCTGTCCGGCTTCAGTATCCAGAGACTTGAAACATCGGGGAGGATGCGAAGAGGCAAGCAGCCAGTTTGATGCCAGAGATGGCATGCAGTCGAACTCGCGAGGGAAAGCACCAAATTTGTGTCTCAGTCCAGCCGGCAGGCAGAGGGAGGCTGGGTACGAATGGTTCCATATTCATCTCCAGGACCCTCCCTACGCTCACTTTTGTCTGGACATGACAACATGACTGAAACTGAAGCCCGCATGGTAGTCTGGAGAAACCACATGACTGTATCCATACGTAGATACGGTTGAGGTTGCACCTTCAAGCCATCGATTTGCGATTTATGTATTTGACTCCCATAGAATGTGCAACTCTCGCCCCCCTGAAGCAAGACATGCCCGCAGGAAGCGTTCCCTAATTCGACACTGGGCTTTTCCCTTGGTAGTTTAGGCCGCATTCGTTTGTGCCTCACCCTGCAGACTGCTGCCGCGACTCGTGGTTATGACGTGCGTGCTCGATGGGATTTCGAGTGGGGATGTTGTTGACGCTTCCCAGATTGTTTCGAAACGCACATGTCGTTAAGGTTGTTTTTGGAAGCTTTCCAGATGTGGAAAGGTCCCGAACACGAGCCCTGAACCCGCATGGGAGTTCAGGGATCAGAAGGTTCTCGAACGAAAAATGGACAGACAACGAGCATCTTGAGGTTCATGCGGAGGCCGCAGCACAGGCAAAGGGACCTAGAAAAAACCAAAGAATTTACTATTTGGAGGTACGGAGAATAAAAGAAAGGAAATACTGCGTCAAAGAACACCATCTTCCGATTTTCCATCAATTAACTGGAGGCTTCGGCGTTGGCGGCAAAGGAATCTTCTGTAGCGCCCCTCCAAGGCCTGATGCCCCGCAAGCCTGGCCCAGCGGTCTTGACATTTTGAGCCAACCAGCGTGGGAGCGCAGCCTGATTCAGCTGGCGTCGGGTGCTGGGTGCCTCAGTGGAGACTTGCGATTGCCAACCCCAGTGCAGTGGGAGGAACCTCCGCACCTCCCAGGAGACAAGCAGTCTCTAGTTTGCAACCTCTCCGTCGTCAGTGCCTCTATCGAACCGCCAGTCCCTGCTTGCCCGGGCTCGAAACGCAACATTAACGAGAAAACACCGGCGCGCGACCGGGAAGCCGCTTCATCCGTCCCCTTCCCCGGCCCCCAACCCCCGAATATTCGGTCGAGCGAGCGATTCAAATTACGCGCATCGACGGTTACCTAGATTGGGCATCAAGAGACAGCCGAAACAGAGAAGAGGATAAGAGGAGAACAAGAGCGGGTAGCGCACGGGGTGAAGCCACCGCAAGACGACAGAGGGACCAAATACAAAATAATGAATCCGTTGCGGAGCTCGCAGCGTCGGTCACCCGGCGCAGAGCCAGGTCAACCCCCGGCCGTCCCTCCACGCTCCATATCACCCGCCGTCGGCGTCGGCACCAACCGCCCTGTTGCCCCTCGTTCTATGGGCTCCTCACGATCGATGCAACCGACGAGCGCGAGCGGGAGCGGCAGCAGGAATGATGGAACCAGACGGGCCAACGTGAGTGCTGCATTGCCGGTTCTCTTTTCTTTTGCAGATCCCCATTCGACCGCCGGCTTCATGCACCACCGGACCACAGGTTTCAAACCCCGGTGGCGTCCCGCCACATTTGCACTCATCTCTCTGGTTCGGTCTTTGCTGTCGTCGCTTTGCGCGTGTTCTGCGATTCGCTATCCACGCCTACTGTTCATTGCTAACCATGTCGCCTAAAAAGTCAGCAGGAAGCAGTACTTCGGTTCCGCTGTCCCAGATCGAGAAGAGCGTCACACACCTGCTCGTTGCCACGAAACAACTCCTAGAGACACTCACACAATGGTCGCGAGGGAACGCCACCGACACCCGAGGTGTCCGACGTTTATGTCCGCCTCGGCTACGAGTTCAATATGGCCTGTCGTGCCTTTACCGCCATCAACGTCGACACATCCGACCTTGGGAACGTACCTGAACTGTTGAGGAATATCTTGGAGTCCACTCTGAGTCAGGAGGCGAGCGCGGAAAGCTTGGAGAAGTACCTGCTCGAAGATTCGCGATATAATCATCAACCTACTACACGGTCCTCAAGCGGAAGCAAACCTGGCTGAGGCAAAGACAACAGCGGGAGAGAGACGGCGGCCCTTCCAGCGGGTGGTTCTGGCGATGGTTGGTCCTTTCTGGCAATGGATTCTGGTGACGGCGCCGAACCCACCAGTCCCCCGGTCCCACCGCGGACGACCAGTACGAGCACAATGGGGAGTGTCGGCTCCGGGCTGACAACTTTACTAAACGAAGGGTTGGACGGCGGATATCGACCAGCCAGCCAGCGTGATGACGGACGGAACAATGCGGCACCCTCGCCTACCAAGCGTTTCCTACAGCGGGAGCAGTCTCGCAGCTCTGTCAACTCGGACCAGTCGAGCCTTTCCAGTAATACGATGCAGAACATCCCGGTCCTCCCCCCCTATCCGGGCGACGAGACCATTCCCACGGGCCCCTCGGCAAGCGACCTAAGCAGCCTGGATAACTTCCCACCGCCACCGCCGCCGCCCAAGGCATCACAGCAGAGCGCCCTGGCGGCGTTGCAGAGAGGCGGCGATCTGGAAAGACGGGCATCACGAAGGTACTCGGCTTACCAAATATCGAAACACCTCGGCACCCAGGGAGCTGTCCCTGTGCTTCCGCCTCAGACTACCCCGGCACCGAACCGAGGGCGTGTTGAGATGCGGGAGTCGATGCGGGCAATGCAGGCGAGGGATACTGCTCGGCACAAACGTAACATGTCCAGCCAGTCGCGGACGGCGACGCTTGATTCGTCTCCTGTCCGAGTTCCAAGCCGTGTATCCGAGGAGCCCGAGGAGCTCCCCATCCAGGTCCCCACCGCAAGGGCCGAGTTGCCCGCCGCCCCGGAAGACGAGAAGTTCCAGCCAAGCGCGACTCTGAACGGACCGCCGTCCGACGTTATGGTAGTAACGGAGACAGAAGGAGACGAGGAACAGGAGAAACCTGTAACGCCAGCTCCGGCGCCGGCGCCCCCAATAGTACGGGCGGTAACTCCCGACAAACCACCGAGCACTTTCACGGAAACGCCACCCCCCACCAAGGACCTGACTCTTTTCCTACAGTACAAATCCAAGGTTAAGAAGTTTGTGCTCTCAGGAGGATATGAGGAACTGTCGATTGGGCGTTTGCAGCTCGCCTTTATCGAGAAGTTTTCCTGGAACACGCAGCAAAACGGCGCCGATCTACCGGACATCTACATCCAAGATCCGGTGTCACGGGTCCGCCATGAGCTGGAAGACCTCTCCGACATCAAGGACCGCACCGTTTTAGTTCTCAACGTAGAGCAGCTGGACGAGGTGAAATGGCACATCGACGACGGCCTCGGCTCGCTCAGGCAGATGATGGCGGAGATGAAGCAGAACGTCAATGATCAAGGGGCAGCTCTGCAGAGCGTGTCGGAGCGGCAGCAAGAGACGGCCAAGGACCTGGCTCGGCTGGCCGCCTCGCCGCCCACCGTCGTCGCAGCTCCCGCAGAATCCCCCAAGCTGGCAGCGGGACCGACACAGGCATCGCGCAAACTCAGCCCCGGCCAACTCTCCGAGGTCCAAAGCTCTCCGCCGCGACCTGGCCGTCCTCCGGCAGACCTACTCCAACTTCCAGTCCGAAGTCCAAGGCTCCATGTCGGCCCTCCGGGCAAAGGCTGCCAACGTCAAGATGGCGGCCACCAAGGTCGCCGTCCCCGACGTGGAGGGCAACGCCGGACACGCGTACGTCATCACGGGGCGCAAGCAGCTCAACCAGGATAGCGACCGGCTGGTCAACCGGGTGGACGACCTCCAAGACCTGGTCGAGGACCTCCGCAAGGACGTGGTCCACCGCGGCGTGCGCCCCCTCCCGCGCCAGCTCGAGGCCGTCACGCGCGACATCGCCCTGCTCACCAAGGAACTCAGCAAGATGGAAGAATCCATGAAGCAGGAAAAACCCATCTGGACCAAGATCTGGGAAAAAGAACTCGAAGACGTCTGCCAGGGGCGCGACGAACTGCGCCTCGTCGAGGACCTGATTGTCGACCTGCGCGACGACCTCGAAAAGGCGTCGGAGACCTTCGCCCTCGTCGAACAAGCCACCAAGGAACAGATGAAAGACGCGGGCGGCGCGGGCGCCGGCCCCGGCGGCGTCATTGTCGCGCGCCAGTTCAGCAAGGGCCTGACCTCGATCCGCGAGAACGCCGCCGCCGTCGACCCCAACACCGCCAAGGAGGGCGTGCTCGGTGAAGTGCGCGCCCTGCAGCCCAACCACGAGAATCGGCTCGAGGCGATCGAGCGTGCCGAGAAGCTGCGCCAGAAGGAGCTGGCGCGTCGCAGGGAGAATCCCCTCACGAAAGAGCTGGCCACGTTTGTGGAGGAGGGGAAGCTGAAGAAGTCGGGCGGGGTGGAGGAGGTGGAGAGGGCGCGCAAGGCGAAGGATGATCGGATTCGTAGGGAGGTGTGGGAGAGGCAGAATGGGATTATTGTGCTGCCTGAGGAGGAGGAGGAAGGGGAGGGGGTGGTTGGGGATGGCGAGGGTGATGGGTTGGAAGCTGGGGTGGAGGAGGGGGAGGACTTGGTTAACGGGACGGCGGGGACGGCGGCGGCGGGCGGTGGGGACTGAGTTTTGTGCTGCTGGTGATGGTGGCCTGGCTGTCTGGCTGTCTGGCTGCCTCTTGCTTCTTGTCGCTTGCCTTTTTGTTTAATGTGTCATGCACTCACTGGGTTTATTTGTCGTCGTGGGGGGGGGAAAGCGCTGTTGAAGGATTATACCCACTGTCTTTTGCCTGCCTCCTTGCTTGCTGTTTGGTTTGTTGTTACAGCTGTGTGTGGTTTTCAGCGGGTTCTTCTGTATCTTTTGGTTATGAGCAAATGCACTGGTTGATGAGTTCTATACATTGGGATATATCTATGGATGGCTTGTGTGTGTTTTGCAGGGGAGCTGTGAATGGCTGTTTGGTCTGTTTGATGTTTTGAAGCTCTTCCTGGGGCTGGCTACCTTACCCCAACCAACGAATGCCGGGCGTTCTGAATGGTGGTTTCCGCCCCTCCTCCCGGGCCGATGGACGGTGGGGTTCCGGGGTAGCATCTCCGGGCGTGCCCCGCACTCGGGGCCCAGTTATGGGATGATAATGCGCGTAAGCTGATCTAGAGACTGGTGAGACCTGGCGTGTTATTTGGTTCAACCTTCCCGGCAGGGTTGAGAGATCTCCGCCGGGGGAAGCAATGGTTGGGTAGGCGCGTTATTGTTACATAGGTAAGCCGCAGCAGGTAGTACTTAAAGGGGGGGACAAGATGTTGGGAAGGAGGGGTTGGGTCCCTGATGTGGTGGTATATTATGTTCCTCTTGGCCCCCTTGGTCCCGGACTCCCCCTTTTTTTCCGCATAAAGAATTCACGGGCGACGACTACGAAAAAATAGGAAAAACAATAAAAAAAAAAATTGTTTTTTTTTTTTTTTAATTAATTTGGTCTAAATTCCGAAACCCCCACACATACTCTTACTCATATTCAATTATGTCATCCCTTTTTTATCACCTCTTCTCTATCTCCCGCTTCCCCTCCCTCCTGCCCTCTCTCTTCCTCCCCCCCCCCCCCCCCCCCCCC